ATGAGTGTCCCACAGGAGTGTCCCACAAGAGTGTCCCGCAACAGTGTCCCGCAAGAGTGTCTCACGAGGATGTCACAAGAGTGTCCTACAAGAGTGTCCCACAAGAGTTTCCTACAAGAGTGTCCCACAAGAGTGTGCCACAAGAGTTTCCTTCAAGAGTGTCCTACAAGAGTGTCCCACAAGAGTGTCCTACAAGAGTGTCCCACAAGAGTGTCCTACAAGAGCGTCCCACAAGAGTGTCCTTCTAGAGTGTCCCACAAGAGTGTCCTACAAAGAGTGTCCCACAAGAGTGCCCCACAAGAGTGTCCCACAAGAGTGCCCTGTAAGAGTGACCGACAAGAGTGTCCGACAAGAGTGTCCTACAAGAGTGTCTCACAAGTGTGTCCCACAAGTGTGTCCGACAAGAGTGTCCCATAAGAGTGACCACACGAGTGTCCTACAAGAGTGTGCTACAAGAGTGTCCCGTAAGAGTGTCCCACAAGTGTCCTACACGAGTGTCCCACAAAAGTGTCCCACAAGAGTGTCCCGTAAGAGTGTCCCACAAGAATGTCCCACAAGAGTGTCCCGTAAGAGTGTCCCAGAAGAGTTTCCTACTAGAGTGTCCCACAAGAGTGTCCCACAAGAGCGTCCTACAAGAGGTTGTCATTTGGACACATGTAGTTTTGCGAACGTGTTTGCATTCTGGTTCATGGGCTCCATCTTGTTTCTGAAATGTAAATCCACATCCAGCTCCACATTCAAGGGGGATGAAGTAGTGGTAGGTAGTCGTTCTAGTTAAGCAAGGAATTTTAGGGGCAACAATAGGAACAGAGTAGACAAATCCAGAATTATTTAAAAGCACCCTAGGCGAAAAGCTCATTATTGATCCCTCCCATTAAACTAATCAGGGTGTGTGAATGATTTTGCAAACACTTCTGCTATTCCGTCCCATTATACCAATTTGGATGCGACATTATGGTTCACTGCATGCGCATATTTACGGACACACATATAACCGAAAATGAAACAAAGAACATCAAAGAACAATGCATGGATACGTGCACCCATCCATCCATCCATCTATCCATCCATCCATGCATCCATACGTACGTACCTTTGCAGGGCATTCTCTACAAACCTCATCTAACTAACTGAGTAACATGAGTAAGTACTGACTGGCTGGCTGACTGTGACTGACTGACTCGCTCGCTCACTCGCTCACTCACTGACTGACCGACAGACCGAGTGACTGATTCACTAACTCACTGACTGACTGATTGATTGACTGATTGACTCACTCACTCACTCACTGACTCGCCCACTCACTCACCTAACTAGCCTTTCGCTGCTAGGGGGTATATACATCAGGACTGACATACACACTTTATTCGGGCAGGGCTCACCTTCCACATGCCCTCCAGCATCCTCCAGCTAACTTAGCTTGCCAAAGTAGGCGTGTGCGTTATCCCCCTGCTTCCGGCAGGGGCAAGTTCCAATTGTAACTCCTGCCTCAGTACCAAGGACAGTGTCCTTTGCGATGTTCATTTCTTCCTTCTTCTCTCGAGCGAAGGCAAACGGGAAGGAAACAGGTGGAGAGAGAGAAAAAAGTAAAGTAACACTAAACATAAAGCGAGATAGAACGTGAAAGAGAATGAACAAACAAACATATCAGGAGTTTTTACAACATCAGTTCCTGTGATGTGGGGTTACTCAGGGTTTCACAAAACCCGTATTCTATTTTTGCACAGCCCAGTGGCTGAGAGAGAGAGAGAGAGAATGATAGGCCGTGAGTGAGTGAGAAAATGTGCAAGTGCTGTTGTAGGTGGCTGCAGCTTTTGGAGGGTTGCTTTACTGGTTTGGGCCAGAGAAGCGGCATTGTATTGCAAAGGCCAATCATCGCTCTACCCTCTTCAAACCCTCAAGAATGTTCAACAAACTCCAAGGGTGTTTTTTTCATATCGTGCTGTGGTTGCGCCAAGGTTGGCCTATATGCGCGGAACTCAAGCTGCATTCCGAAGTGGCAGTTGATGCTTTTGTTTCTGAGGCCCTCTGCTCTATTCAACCAATTCGAGGCCGCGCTTCTAGATTCCAACAGCAGCTCAGTAAATTAGTAATCAATAATAGTTGAACAACTGCCCAGGAGACACTGTCCTTCGAAGCCAAGAATGCGTTCTGTTTGATGTCACCAACAGCCCTGGGAGTTCGGACCTTGTTGTACTGGACCAAACTATAAGACATCCCCATGATCAGCACATTGTGTAAATTAATTTGTGAAACGGAACGATCATGAGCCATTTTGAGTGCCAGGATGCATGGTTTTGACTTTTTGCGTAAGGTCGGGATGCTGTATATTGGCAAATGGGCAGCCTCCCTACGTTGTGGGAACAGCGGGCATGCGTGTGCAAACATGTTTTCTCACTTGTGAGTGGTTGCTTGCAAACAGGCAGTAGATGTTTCTTTCCAAACGCAGAATAGCCTCTGGGGCACCCACCTTGGGACCTGGGACCAGAGCAGGGTCCAGGAGGTTCGGCAAGTTGCCAAGCTGGCAAGCAGGGAGGTTCCGGAAGGAAGTTCTAGTGCTTCCAAGATCTTCCAAGTGCAAGGTTCCTGCAGGTTTTGCGTTGGAGGTTCTGGAAGATTCAATGAATGAGGTTCCATCAAAAATGTAGCAGATTGCCCCAGACCCCAGCCACGAGGGTTTTCACTACAGACTATGCCCCTATTGCTAGACTCTGCAACCGTGTTTCAATGCATATTCACACGATCTTGGCCTAGGGGGCATATCCCCATTAAGTTGTTCGAAAGCATTACGTGGACTATATATGCTCCTGTATCTAATTGCTTGCAGAATTCTGTTTTTGGTGGAATGTTGTGCTCAACAAACAGCATTTCATTCCAGGTGAAAGTTCCACTGAGCCTGCCACATGTCAAGATAATTTTGTGAGGAAACTATGGACATTGGAGCGCAGTGGAGCAACCTTTGGGTTGTGCTTGGCTCCCAGATTCTTCAGGCAATGTAACTGTGTGTGTGTGGGCGTTCCAAATGCTGAGGGTACCAATCACCAACAGCGGGGCTGCGCCAAAAGATGACCACAGTCTGGGCAGTGTGCCCTGTGGCCACTTCTTGGAAAGTGCAACAATTGCCGAGATGTATTACATGCACTCTTCTTTATAGAGAAGATACCAATGTGCCAACATCTACACATCAGATCAATCAGATCTATTTGCCAGGTGATGGGGATGATGATTCTGGATTCCATTCTCTATCAGGCTTGGGTTGTTTGAATCCGGCTAGTTAGGGTTGGATGTTTGGCAAGCGTAAACCCAAGCTCTGGAAGCTCACTACAAAGAGTTTGCGGTGGGAACGTGAAAGACTATGTTGGTTGTTTCCTTTTGCTTGTCAAACAGAACAAAATTGCATGTGGCCGTTTGAACTCCAGCAGGTCTTGGCCTGGTATGTAGAGAAGGTCCGTCCTGGCACACTTGGCTTGCCTTTGCCCCAGCCGGTATTTGTCCCGGTTCCACACCTAATCACCAACTATATGCAACTGTAGCGTTTTTTTCGAGCTGCGTGAGGAATCTGAGGGTGTATCCGGGCTCAGGGAATCTTGCAAGCTTATCAACGAGTAATTCATAAAGGTAGATGCATGATTATGACTTCGATATTCAATACGTCAATACTGATGGAAGCTGGTGTGGCAATTAAAAACATCCTTGCCATCGGTCCGGTCATGGTAGTCACCCAGCAGATTGTAATTGCAGCAACTATATAGTTCAATGAAGGTAGCAGCAGCAGGTGGTCTTATTGATTTTGTAAGATTTAAATATGTAATATTATATATATACATATATAGAATCAGAGAGGACGCACATGGAGACACATCACATTGCCTGGGCAGTTTCGGAGTCGCATCGTCATGCGAGCATCGCATCGTGGCTGGGGCATGTATGGCTTCTTCAGGTTTTGAACATGACACTGTCGCAACTTCTTTTCACGGACATCGAGTCAGCTGAGCACAGGATGCACAAGCCCAATGCCATGATTGGGCAGATTGATGCTTGATTGACGGTCTTAGTTCAACCTATCGTGTCCAAGTCCTATGGCTTCCATCCTCGTCCACGCCCATCCACCCTCCCGTATCGCGCCCCTCCATCTTCCATTCACAGCCCCATCCACACCCAGCTTCCGTCCACCAAAATGCTTGCCTCGTCTCGCTTTGCCCCCCTCTATCGACTAAACTTGAACCCAAGCATCGGAGGTGCTTTTGGGAAAAAAGTCCAAGACCACGGGTCCTAGAAAACAAAAACCTGAAACGGCGCCGCATTGAAAACAATGTGCTTGGACTCGAGTGTTCAAAGAAACTGCAAAGAACTTTCCAAAACAAGTGATCAGTGAATCTGCCATTGTGCGTGGTTGATAAATGACACAAACAGCCCGCACTCATTTGACTCATGTAGAAGCCTGATCACTAACCATGGCCATCTCAGCGGACGAACCAGCATTCAAACAACAAGAGAAAAACACAACCGCAATACCAATTCAAATCGCAAATTGCCAGGCGTAAATGTCCTTCACACATCTACATGTGCAATCACCCCCGTGTCCCACTTCTATTCCTCAATTTTCATCCGTAAGTCCCCTGTTAGTATGTTAGAGCTTTGATGTCGTGTTTCTTCGGAGTTTGGAATCACAAGATCGACTTTGAATGCCAATACGAACGTCACTGAGTTGTTTATTGTACCGGTAACCCCTCACACATGGATTAGATTTGATATGATTTGATGTAAGCGGACCCCGCAGATTTGCTGAGGCCACAACCGTGGTATTTTCCGTTGTTGCCGTCATACTGGTGGCCAGAGAAGGTGCATGGGGGAAGGCCCAGAGGAAATGCCCAAGGACAGCTCAGACAGATACAAGAAAACACATTTTAACTGACCTCACCATTTGATTTGTTGGGCATGGCCGGAATTCAGTATTGTTTTGTGCCCCCTTACTCAGTGCCAAATGTTTCCAGTTCATTCTGCCTTCGTTTCCCGTTTTGCCTGGTTCAGGGGTTTGAATCTTTCGGAGTGTCTGGCACAACTCATGAGCAGCGCTCCTGCCATGATTAGTTTAATGTGCATCGCGCGCAGCATTGAGACAAAGTAGCATAGCTCCAGAATTCTAGAACTGAGCCTGAGCCAGGTCTGGAAACCGTGATCTTGAATGTTGGGAAGAGCCTACTTCTGAGGTCTTACTCTTGGCATTGTTTTTCCCCACATTGATGTGTGTTTTTTTGTTTTTAGTGCTGTATCCGCTCGGTCTTCCTCCTCCTCCCGCCGCCCGTCCTCCAACCACCAACCACCAACCAACCACCAACCACCAACCAACCACCACCAACCACCAACCGCCAACCACCAGCCCGTCCTCCAACCACCAACCACCAACCACCAACCAACCACCACCAGGCTTTTGCGTGGCAGGCGCGGGACTTGGTGCTTTGCCAGGGGTCAGATGTACGCCCTGGCGTCCCTGGGTCTTTGCCGGCAGCCGCGGTACTTGGTGCTCTCCAAGGGGTTGGATGTACGCGCTGGTGTCGCTGTGATTTGTGTGGCAGCCGCGGTACTTGGTGCTCTCCAAGGGGTTGGATTTACGCGCTGCAACACCTGGATGTACGCCCTGGGGTTGCTGTGTGTCTCCGCTCGGTCTTCCCCCTCCTCTTCCCGCCGCCCGTCCTCCAACCACCAACCACCAACCACCAATTGTCCGCTCCTGTGTCTGGTGATCTTGTTAAGATGTGGGGCTATCCGGTCCTATATTTCTATGATAGCGTCACCGAGTGACATTTAGACATACATATTAGACATACATAGTCACCGTCTAGAAATACTGTGAGAACAGTTGTTGCTCGTAAGTCAGCGACAAATTCCGATGTTTGGGATGTGTTGTGAGAACTGTAGCAGTCTTGTGGAGAGGGGGAGAGGAGATGTTGGCCATTGCAGATCTGATCCATTTACAATACAATACAATATACATCCGTTGATCATATCTCAGTCTCTGTGAGTTTTCGACGATTACAAAGACCTCAAGAAATAGCAGCGAAGGTGGCTTCCAGAACGTCAGTGCAGATCCGCGACCTGACAAAGACCTTTTCTAGTGGAAAGCAGGTGGGAGAGATGGAAGAGACCTGTTTGCAAAGTGTGTCGGCTCGTTTTGTGACAGCCGTTGATTGAGGATTGCCCATCATATTGTGTTAGATATGTTACCCCAATTTTCCCTCAACTGCCATTCTAATCCAACAATCGAAATGTAGCGCAAAGCCAAAAAAACATGGGAGGCAACTTGTCGAAAGGTATTGTAACCTCAAACGGCCCTTTTCGATTCCGTTTCTTCCCTTTTCCTTTATTTTCCTTTGCGCCATCCCCACCCAACACCACCATCACAAATTGGAGGGGAAACAAAATTTGATGCGGTGTGTGTGTGTGCTGTTTAGTGTAGTATCCTTTCCAATCCTTTTTTTCAATTGATGAAGAAATGGAATAGAGTGGAAGCAAGATGTTGTGATGCGGAAGGATCGTGAATGGATTCCGTTCTGTTTTCTTTACACTAGTGCAGCAGCCAGCTGCGCCAGCATTATCAGCACTACCGCGACTATCCAAATATGGCGACAGAATTCAGACGCATTGTTCCTTTGTCCTGATAGATTTGCGGGTAACAAACAATTGTGTAATGCTGCAAAGCGGTAATGCTAACCATGCCAAGGCTGAGTCAAGCATCACCAACACCATCAACCCTTGAAAACCGTGTGCCAGACGCCACCACCAAATCGACATCGAACACCAGACTATCCCCATGTTCATCAATTTTCTATGATACGGTTCCATTGATCAGTGGCTAGTGCAAGGAAATTTGTCATATTTCTTCCACCTTCGTTTGGAATTGAAGAGCAGAAACCGTCGAGGCATGAGTCTTTGGAAGAGAATTTCCATGTATGGTGTACGGACTTTGTTCGAAGCTCTGAGTGGGGGTGCGTGACTATTTTGCAATGTGTCAGGAAGGTATAAAACTACTATAACATCCAGAGAATTTGATTCTGTAAAAAGTGCTGCTGTTGGGACTGATTTTCTTTATCCTTGCTTTGTGCAGGCGTCAATGACAAAACCATGGAAGAACAGCAGCCCTCAGTCCTCAGCAAGCAATCGAATTTGGAAGCAAAATGATGGGACACCTGTGGGCCTTCAAGATCCTTCAAGGGCAAGCGAGTTTTCGCACGCTTTTCACCGGTACTTAGGACTGAGGAATTCTGAAGTGTAGGCCCAGCAAGCACACAGAAGTCAGAAGGTACAGCCAACAAGCGACAGCACATGGCGACACATGGCAACAAGATGCAGCATTGTGCTTCGCGCGTTTGCGCATCTGGTGTTGTGTAGTGTGGGGGATGCTTTTGGTTGGTCGGTACAAGGCTACAAGGTCATGGAATCGGCCCGGGCTTTGATTTTATAGGGCCAACTTTGGGTTGCTTCGTTTGCAGCCTGGTCCCGATCCGTCCTCAGATTTGCGGATTATTGAGGCGTGTATGAATTGAACGGCTGCTTGCCAGGCTCTGAAAGGGATCACTTTGGACATGCATCAAGGCTCCATCATGGGTCTACTCGGCCAGCTTCCCAGTGGCAGTTTGCTCTTGGTGAATGATAAGTGCTTTGTCGTGGCTTCAGTAGCATGCCATTGTCATTCACGGGCAACTGCACAGTGCGCATGTTATTGTTGCGTGTTACCACACCAATCCTTCCTATTGCTTCGCACTAGGACCTTGTTTTTTTTGAGTTTCTGTTGGCTGGCAGCTCACAAGCGTCATGCGATTATTGCCCAGGCCACAATGGTGCAGGGAAGAGTACCACAATGTCCATCATGACAGGCTGCAATGATCAGCATTTCATCCGTGATGATGCAAGATCAAATTGTGATGGGGGCTGGGGCTTGTGCCAAGACTGCACACTTCAGTGGCAGATACTATTGAGGCCTCTACCCGCCCACCACGGGTGATGTGGTAGTCCATGGTGTGTCTGTACGAGGGGACTCTCTTGGAGTCCGACGGCAGCCGGGCACCCAAAACTGAACAGCGGGCCCATTCTTTGTTCAAAAGCGTTGTAGATTTGCTTTACGTAAGTTGTCTTTGCTAAATCAGCAAACTTAGTTTAAGGCTGGGTGTTTGTTTGCAGCACAATGCATTGTACGAGAACGTCACCGTCGAGGAGTGGTCCTTTATCCGGAAAGCTTAGACACCCAACCAAGGTTTGAATACACCCATCTTGCTTGAGCCAAGTTTGATTCATAGACTGAAAAATGCTGACCAAGAATTGTTGGACACGCGCCATGCTCGGTTTTGCGGTCAGACTTCCAGGAAAATGTGTTGGCATTCTTTTGGTTTTGAAACATGTGTGGATTCGATTCGGCATCATGATGTTCATTTTGAGAAAATAACAAAGCCCTTTTGCAGCCCCCATTCTTGCAAGGGCATATGAGCAAATAGCAACAAGAAGCTACTAGTAACAAAGGGCATCGCTACTAGTAACAAGAAGGCATTTCTACTAGGAACAAGGATGCTATTAGTGGCTCCTGGCATCGCTACTAGGAGCAAGGACTCCCTCCTGACCTTACTACTAGGAACAAGAAGCTACCTGCGGTTGTTTCAGTCCTTCGACGCAGTGCAAAGCAGGAGCATTTGAGGCTTTTTTGCATGTTAAAGCGGGGCAGCCTAATTCTGAAAACGTACCTGCCTGGCACGAAGCTTGTTGAGTCTTTCTAATTGTGGGTTTGGGGTGCGTGTCAACATCAGACCGTATAGTACCTCGCATTCAGACGGACATGAAATGAGGGGCGTAGGCGCCAACAAAACAAATAACACCTTAGGTACATTAAATTAGGAAAAACACAACTCATGTTGCGTCCCTTTTGGCTAGATTAGTTTCCATCTGAAGTTTTCCAGCTGTACTAAACTAAACGTGTTTTGACATGTAAGTAAGAATGAACTATACTACAATTCAGTTGGCCAAAAAACAAAAAGCATGTGAAAGTTGAAGCCCGTGCCGAAAGGGTTGATCATTTGAATACGGATTTGTGTGTGTGCTCACGGGAGTTACAGCTCAGTAGCAGATACTAAGTTTAAAAAGGATAGTACGGGCATTTGTGTTTGAAGCCTGACGCCTTGCGAGATTGCATTGAACAGTCCAAGAATCATTGAGGTCAGTACCACTCAATGAAGTCTCAAGCGAGGTAGACCGCTTGCCCAGCACTCGGGGGATATGCGACAAAGACACTCCTTCAAAGCGCATTCTGTTGGGGGAGTTGTAACCGTATGAATCAGAAAAAATGAAATGAAGTGTTTGGTTCTGAGGCTTCGAGACACTGGAATGGAGGTGAAGCGCAAGTCGTCGGGCCTCAAAGTCGCGCCAGTCGTTGGTGGTCTACACGAGTCTACCATGCAGCTGACTATATAATTCTTCGTTTTGGATCAATGAAATGGAATGAAAGGCTGTACCGCTACAAGCAGTAGGCTTAAGTCGTATCATCCTCTTGAAAGTCGCATCGCAGAGCTGTGCGCTAGGCAAAGTGATAGTTTTTAATATTCAGACATGTTCTGAATTTTGTTTGTACTAGTGTTTTGGGATTGTGCGCTGGGATTTGGTGTGGTTTTCTCATCAGATGCCAGGAACCTTTAATTAGGTGTCTTTGGTGTCTTTAATTAGTAACAGGAATGGAGAGGGAAAAACTTACCATCCGAGTGGCGAGTGGATTCTGAATTCTGCCGCAGAAAAGGAACTGGTGGGACCGTGCGGTGCGGGCACAGGCTGATGAATTTGTTCACGTTGATGGAAATGATGACATTTCCAAGGCCATCGAGAGCTCTGAGTGGTGGAATGAAGAGGCCTGGTTCTTTAGCTCGTCAAACGATCATTTTGCAGTCGAATCTGGCAAGGAAGCTGTCCATTGCCATAGCACTTGCGGGCGGTTCCAAGGTGCGACAGGAAAAGATGTAACCTAAGAGCAAAGCAAGTTTGGACCGTGGAGCCATGGCGTATTTGGAAATTAATTTCACAAAACATGATTCAGAACAAACCGTTACAGTTATCGAACATTATCGAACGACTTGTTCACTATCAAACGCTGAGACTTGTTGTGAGAGTCTTTCCGGCATGATGGTTGCAGCTCACCTTACACTGCAAGTGATGGAAACGCATAAACACAGCAGTCAAATAAATGGCTCAGGGACGGAAATAGGATGAACACGAAACAGTGTTAATAAAGTTACTGGCTCGCAATTTCCACGTCACCCAACCAGAAAAGGACATTCATGTTGTATCTTGAAAGGCCATGAAAGGCAATCAATTCCTTACCTCCCGTCAGACATGCTGAGCAAGTTGGGATCTCTTTGCAACTGGATGAAAGCAAGCATGTCGCAGGTAGTCACACTGGACGAGCCTACAGCAGGCACGCTTCCCATGGGATTCCGTTGAAGAGGTAGGGGCACAGAATAACATACGATGCCAGTCGATACCGCCCTGCATATGAAGAATCAGAGCGTTGAAAGATTGAAAAGATTTGAAAGGTATCCAGGTATACATTATATAAAACATATGAAGACTATGTGACAATGGCTTCGGACACACCGCAGGTGTAGACGCAACAGCCCGACGTGATATTTGGCACTTGCTGGTGAAGTACAAGGTGGGAACCAAACAAGAATACAGAGTTGGTGAAAGAATAATTTATGTTGATTGAGAAAACCTTTGACGACCGTTTTTCTTCAATTGTAAATTTAGCATAATGTAGTGATTTTGCCGTGTGCCAAATGTGCTCAAGCAGCATACTGTAGCCGAATCTGCCAGGCTGGGCGAACGTGAGGCTCCCAGACCTGAACACCGCCACGACTCCCACGACTGACTTGTTATATTCACGACAGCTTCTTGCAAGGCTTGAGGCTGTAAAATTGCAACAAGATCATGTGTGGTGGTACGAGGATTTGGGTGTATTGTCGCCTGCTGCAAACTGGCATTCTTGATGATGCAAAGGTGGTAGCTTTGTTCCAAGTGGAACAGGTGATGAGAGAACCGATGTGAGATCCTGTATGCCGTTATTTACACCCGAGAACTGCATGTGACAGGCACTGTCATATTTTGCTTTGTTTTGCAGGACCAACTAACACTGTGGTGCAATTGTTGCATATGGGAACGTGATCTAAAGGGGCATGTAAGGCTGTCCAAGCCCTCCGCAGAACATCCGCAATGAGGCTTGCGAAAGTATGTTCCTTTCCTCCTTGCAATAATCTTACACTAAGACACGACTTAATGAAGGAGCATGATTCAGCGAGAAAATGGAACAGGAATGCAGTATAGGCACGAAGGTGAGAAAAAGCGAAAAGGTGCGGCGGAACAAGGAAATCTAGAGTCAAGCCAATGGCGATCAAGCGCGCAATAGGTTAGACATTGATTACGAATTTACAACTTGTTGGACATGTGGTTCACTCATCATGACAACGGACAAATCATTCAGAGTTGTCTTATGTTTTCTTCGTGCCAGTTAGTGTGTTCTGAGGCCAGCGTGCAGGTAGCGTGGTAGCGGGCAGCATTGATACCACCCACAAGAGAAGGTTGGGAAGAAATAGCGGGTCCTAATCGAGGAGAAGCCTAATCTACGTGCGGATGAAGCATTTGGACATACGATGAAACATACGATGAAAGTATCAACATCCTTTTGTCTTCACTTACAGTCACTAACATATCATTTCTGCTGACATTTGGTAGATATACAATGACAATGATATACAAGGTAGTCCTTTGGGGCGGAAGTTCTGCCACTGTCACAGACTCACAAACTAACCTCTCCTCTACTGTTTTATATTGTCCACAAGGGTTCTCCAATTCCCTTCAGAACTCAACTCTTTCTATTCCTTCTTGCCCAGCCCTGACAGTGGTGCGTACATATGAATTATCAGATGCCCAATTCCTTTTTGCACTGTCACGGACTCACAAGCTGCGACTGTATCACCCTTGCGCAGCCGTGACTGTGGGTGAGTGATCCGCAGCCCTGACAGGTTGTACAATGTGTGTGTGTGTGCGCCATATGACAATACACATACAGTACATGGTACATGTCTTTAGGGGCATCACCAGTGATTTTTTGTGCGAAAGTTTTGCGAATGTGTCGATAATCCAGCTACCATACCCTATTCTGGTGGCAGGTTTGAATGTTTGTCACGCAGGTGTTGCAAGTAGTTGTAACAACTCTCAACCTCGTGTGCAGATCATGCAAATACATGTGTTTGATTGGGTAACATGCTTCTCGATAAGGTCCTGACACACAGAAGTTCAGTGATAGGGGTTGGTGACGAATGGCCATTCCAGGATGAAATATTGATCAACACCATATGCTCAACTGTTCCACAGTCAACGGATGACGCCAAAAACAAGGCTTTGTTAGCTTCTTTCGTGAACCCCTGTGGAGTTTAAGGATACTGCTGTCAACCCACTTCATGGACGAGGCCCGGCATTAAAAACACCCAATTCTTCTCAGAAGTACTTAGAGTATCTTTGAGTCGAGTTGAACAAATACCATGTTTCCTTTGAATTCGGAAGAGGGGTCATGATGAAACGTCCTGTACATCTCTATAACACTGTCAAAATCAAAAGAATAAGGTTATCGTTATCTTACCTACAGAGATTGGGTTCGTGCCCAGGCAGACATCCTTTCTGACCGAATTGCTGTCATAGCAGAGGGCCGTCTTACAGCTATCGCCGGCAGTATGGCCTTAAAGCCACCGGGCAGCATTGTCAGCATCGACAGCATGGCGATATATGAATCGGTGCATTCTGTGTCCTCGTGTTCTTGGCGCGTCAGCATGAAATAGAGAGTACGGCCCAATGCTGAGCGGTGGCGCGAGGCTTTTCGCGTCGCTCCTTCAAGTTGACGTTATATAATATGGTGTATGGTGATTCCCCACCTGTCAGGTGAGGGTTGTTAGATTTTATGTCAGCTGCCTCGCTGCTCCTCTCGTCCTCTCCTCTCCTCCTCTCCTGAGATGGCAGGGTTTTCCGCTGGACCTCAACCGCCAGCTCGGGACGGCAGTGTGACACATCCACAACACACAACCACAACACACAATGACAAAGACACATCCACAGCACATCCACATATGTCGCAATATATGGCAAAGAAGATGTTCACCTGTTCACCTGTTCTTCCTTTGCCTTTGCTGGACCAGACACCCGACAGACGGCGCCGATGTCTTGCAAGAATGTCAGTCACATTTGACAAGCAGCTGTTTCTAAACAGTCTTGGGACAACAAGCTCAAAAGGTACATCGCACGCTCGCGCAAAGAACGATAATCAATTGGGGCAATCTGTCTCGCGCGAAGCGCTGATCTCTTTTTTCCCAAAAGCATCTCCGATACTTGGGCTCTCGTTTAGTCGCTAGTGCCGCGGAAGAGCGAGACAAAGCATGCGTTGTCGGGGACAGAAGATGGATGTGGAGTGGACGGGGTTGGGAAGGGAAGAGGGAGAGGAAGGAAGGGAGGGGAGCGAGACGGGAGGCGCATGGGTGGGGACGGGGCTGGGGAGATAAGATGGAGGGGAGCGAGACGGGAGGCGCATGGGTGGGGACGGGGCTGGGGACACAGGCAACATCACACAGCAAGTATGTACACTGCACAGAGCTAGTGCAGGAGGCGCCGCATGAAGATCCACCACACCTTGGCGGCAACCCTGTTTTTGACCGATGATCAGTTCTACCACCTGGTGGCTCAGGATGCAGAGGACGAAGAAGGCTCAGAGGATGAGCTGGACTTTGAGGGGTGGGCGCGGGCAGTTCAGCAAGAGGATGAGGAGCAGCACTTCGAGGACTGTGGGGCAGATATGCTCCCACTCTCCCGCAACATACCCGCAAGACACGGGAGGACCGTCTTCGTTGGCAGGGAGAGTCAGCTATGTGCGAAGGTAGGAGATGAAGAGATGTATCACCTCAATGAAGTGGTGGAGGTTGAGACCACAGAGATGGAGATCGACCAGTTCGACGCTACAGCCTGACAAGAGCTACCGCCTGAAGGAGTCTGATGATCGGAGACCTGGAGGTGGAGGACATTGGGTTGGACGGGCTCGCCGCGAAGTTTGTGAGGGATTGGCGGATCAAGACAAGGAAGATGGAGGATGGAATTACTGTACAACCAACAATGAATGAGAAGGTCTTGGCTGGTGGCCAGGGAGTACACGACAAGACAGACTACGACTTCTACCAGTTCTATGTCTGACATGGAGGGTGAAGGAGTAAATGAAATCAGATGCTCACGTCCTCCAAACCATTTTTTCTAAAATCTCGTAATGAATGGCTTGGCTGTGGCACCCCTTCATAATTTTCTGGTGGATCTTGGGGGCGCCACAGGGAAGAGACAGATGGGCCCGACCACAACTCACGAACCATCCACAAACCGTTCCATCGCGAGTCTTTCTACGTGACAGGAACTAAAGAGGCACAAGGGAAGGGCCAAGAGCAGGGCCCCCCAGATCCAAGAACTGTCTCCTCCCTGCGGCGCCCAAGTCAGTGAGGGTGCTGAGGGTCTTCTTGTCAGGCCGTCTGAGAGACGAGGGTAGTGACAGTGAGGAAGTCCTTACACCGCTCATCTGGACGCTACTTCCTCTCAAGGAATTTTGCGACCTTTCCCTCGCTTACCGCCGTGTCTGACTGGGCCCCTTCTTGGATCTGGGGCCCCTGCTACACAAGAACGACCAGTCCAGATCAGCGCAACACAAGGGAAATACAAAGTGTTGAAGAAGCTGGTGAGCCCATGCGTTGGGAGAACAGGAGAAGGGAGGGGCAATACGCCTACTGATACATGCGAACCACGCAGGCCCACAAGTTAGGTGTTGAGTTCTCTTTCTTTCCTGAAGAGAAAGTATGCGGCGATGGAAGAAGGAATGTTCGTGAAACTGGGACAGTATGCGGCCAACACGATCCAGACCCTTGAGGATGCCTATGGCTAGGTGAGGAAACAGAAGCTGCCATGCACTGCAGAGATTGGGGTTGGACAGCTCAGGTTTGATCACTACTTAGGTGGCAGCAATGGACGTTTCCTTCACGATCAATGAGTTGGCAAGCAAGATCGAGCAGACCAACTGACTCGGTCGCCCCCCAACACGTGAGAAGACTCATTGGCTACCTCAAGGAGAGTGACAACCAGCACTTTAGTTTGCCAACGCCCAGAAAAAGGCCAAGCACTTCAGATGAGAACAGGAAATTTGTGGCTATTGGAGAGCTAACCGACGCCGACTGGTCAGGATCGAAGAAAGAAGATCAACATCAGCTCTGGTTCGCCGGTTTTAGGTGACAGTCTATAAGTGATAAAACAGATAAAAGTATCAAAAAACACAAACTACGTTTTGAATATACAAAGTCACCTGTATTTTAAAAATGCACTTTTGCCTTTTGTTCTTTCAAAAATACGACCCTTAAAACAATGCGAAGCTGCAAGCAAATTCAAGGGGATTGCCACTTCATATGCATTGATATGGGTGGGATGGGAGGCTGGCTCCACTGTCTCTTGGAGCAGCCTCTCGTGGTTGTCGGGTAGCCTGACCACGTTTCGCTGGCTGTCAAAAAGATTTTGCCGGCGGGCTTTGCCGGTTTGCAGTTCGAGTCTGAAAAAATATTTACTAATATATAACGTAAAGTTATATTCCTTTTCTTGTGCTTTTCCAAAATACAAAAATATATACGGAAAATACAAACAGAAAACGACCCGCAAACAAATACAAAATACAAAAAATCCGACCCACTCCAGTTGGGAGTTGCGAGGCAAGGTGGGTACGTCGAAACACCATCTTTGGCAACAGAAAGAAGTTTCGCAGAGTACCGCAATCGAGTGAGAGACGGAGTACGGCAAGATCAAAGACGGAATTTGCTGGAGGAAAAGACCGCTTTCTACATACACTCTAAGTATTCTTGCTTGTTCACCATTCGGTTTGAGCCACTCAGGTCAGCCCCTAAGATCTAAGACTGTTGGCTGTGAAACTCTTCTTACCCCCAGGTAGGTGGACATTTCCTGCGTGATTTCATACAACTCGCCAGCCCCTCCTCACTAGTGGAACCAATTTGCCTCCAATCAAGTCCTCACTTGCTCTCAAAGCTGCACGGGTCTTCATTCTATTCAAGTACTCAAACTGTTCTAAAGGAATTTGCCGTATCCGCTGCTCCTGGCCTGAACGCTCATCCCTGAGGACCTCCAGGATGCGTCCATCTGCTAGCAGCGCTGCTCCTGTTCTTCCGGACGCTGGCTCATCTCCTTCTGCATCCTCTTGAGGTTGTTGCGCGCTGGGAAAGCAGAAAGGAAAGGACGACTACGGCAGGGGAAGTCCAAAGGAGGCAAACAGAACTATGGCAAGGATGGTGAAGGCAAGAGTGGCAAGCAGAGCACGGGCAAAGAAGGAAAGGGAAAAGGGGCCAAGGAGCAGAAAGAAGGAAAAGGCGAGAGTAATGAAGTTTGCTGGACTTGTGGCAAACCTGGACATCAAGCAAAGGATTGCTGGTGTGTCAGACAAGTGGAGGCATTGCCAACTAACACAGAGCTTGGCAAGTTCCAGTCAGCATACGACGTCTCCGTCCACAACCACCACGCTATCCATACCGAACGCTCGCAGATTCAATAGGAGAGTGCGTAGTCCTAAGAGAAGATTTCATGTCCATGATGGCACGCGCAAATCAAGACATACAAGGGAAGACCTACTGTATACATATTCCATCATATTCCATCATTTGATGTTTGTGAAGTACATTGTCTTAGGCGCCACTTTGCTGATGGCTACACTCTGACCGTGGTTTGCGACGACCAGCGTGAGGGCCAGAAAGTTGCCACATTTGCTCGGTTGCTCAAGTAACGTCCAGCAATGATTGTGTCGCGTTCCGGGGCAATACTTGAAAAGTCCTCCGAGATCGCATGACAAGATAAGTCGAATGTTGCTTGCGTTGCGTGGCAAATCCCGTTCTTTAGGAGTGAGATCAGCTCAAACAAAGGCTTGTCACATTTGCTGGAGCAACTCACTTTGTTTTTTCACCTTGTATGTGAGATCTTGCATGCCTCCAAGGTCATCGGTACTGTGCCGCGGGCTACCTTCGTTGGGGCAAGAGGACGAGAATTTTGTTTTGTCGGTGTCCCAGAGGTCTTCTTGTAGGAAATCCAGGTCGGCGCACTTGAGAACTTGCTGCAACTTGCTGTTGATTGGTTTTGTTTGGCGACAGATTCAAGGGGTGCAGAGCCGCCATGTCGGATTGGACTGTAGAAACAGAACACACACTGGAAAGTTGGGTGGCTATCAGTCTCAAGGTCAAGGTCAGGTTAAATATTGCTAAATAGTGTCTAAGTGCCGTTGAAACTCACAGTGACAATACTACATTCCAGCTGGGCTTGGATGACCTGCATGCCAATTGAATTAGTACGGTTATTTTGTACTTGGTGGTTTTTGTGTTGTGTTTACTGTTGCAAGCGCACGGAGACGTCAAATCCTGTGATTCTGTTTTGGCGGTTTTTTTCTTGGAGCGCTTCATCCGATTTGAACCCAAGTGGGTGTCGTGAGGCCCTGCCCTTCACCAGCCGATCCATCTTCCCGATACTCTTCGAGAAGCTCCAGGCTAGTGGCAAAGCTATCAGTTCCCTAGTAAGAAAGTAACAAAGGGCGCAAACCTCGATCTACGATGAAGTTCCAGAGTCCATGAGTGTATTTACTGTATTATATATTTATGTTTTGAAATCCATCAAGAAGGAAGATACAAAAAATGGCACTGTCAACCCTTTGAATCCTTTGTTCAAGTCAACAATCTTTCGTTGAGACTCAGAGTGGTGCCCCACGTCGCGAAGCACATGTGAACTCCAGGACGATAAGATGCGGCGTCAGCTCAAGGCAACGCTTTGCATATATAGAAGGTTCAAAGGTCTTCGAGAAAGGTCAACAGCATATCCAGAAGAAAAGACACAGTGTGCTTCAACTAACTCGCTCTAATTAGCAAATTATCAGGCGCGGCGCCGAAATACGGAAGAGAATGGTGTAGGGTCAGTCGAGACTTTCAAAGATCTCTCTCGAAAGTCCGCATGGCTCCAGATCTGCGCATATGGATTGAGCGCAGCATCTATGGAGGAGGCGATCGAACAGCTTTCATTTATCTATATATATTATCTAACTGTAGATCTATCTATCTATCTATCTATCTATTTATCTATCTCTATCTCTATCTCTATCACTATCTTTATCTCTATCTCTATCTCTATCTGTCTATCATTGTCTATCTATCTGTCTATCATTGTCTATCTATCTATCTATCTAGCTATCTATCTATCTAAATAAATAAATAATACATACATATATATGTCTATATCTATCTGTCTTTCTGTATCTGTCTATCTATCTATCTATCTATCAATCAGCCTTTTGCAGTTCGAATGGCTACTCTGGCCACGATGTCCTGCACCGGACTCCCATGATGGACTGGGGGTGGATCCTGCGTATGTCCCAGCACCAAGTGCTTTGCCTGTGGTTGCTGGCTGCACTGGTACTCGCTCCCTTTCGTTTGACGACTTCTTGGAGCCATTCGACTGCACCTGGTCCCAATTCCAGGCACCTCTTCGAGCCATTTCGACTGACTGACATGGTTTTTGAAGAGGTGAAAGGGAAGGGTTGGGGGGGCTGCCGTAGGCCCTCCTGGAGGGATTCATAGACCTGATAGACTTTCTCACGAATCCCCCAAACCATACGGGAGAGGGCCCATAGAGCCCTACGGGGCATCTCCACCTCCAGTTCGCGCCTCCAAAAGGAGCTTCCGTAGACTGCAGAGGAAATTGACAATGGATGGACTAGCTACGTATAGAGGCCGCATCTGGTATGGTACACCGACCATACCTTGCACTTCTCCTCCGTCCAGGGAGGCCTTGATGACACCACCACGTCGAAGACGCTCTCATGCTTCCTTCATGAGTTGGAACTGCATGACGCTGCACTCGCATGACTACCTTGGGCTACAGCTGCAGCAACTGGACATAGCTCTGCTTCAGTCCACGAGATGGACCTTGACGGAACCTTGAGGAGAAGTACGGATACACAGCCTTTCCGTCCACCGAGTGTAACCCCCAAGGTGGGGGTTTGATCACACTCATTCGAAGTGGCTTCTGCCCTGCTGACAATGTGAGTATGAGAGACGTTTTTCCGGGCAGGCTCCAACACCTCAGGTGTTATACAAGGCACGGCAACCTCGACATGTTGAACGCATACCAGTACCCCAGTGGTGCCACAAAGACCAGGCCCAATCCACTCAAAGACAGGGAAACTTTCTGGGAACAGTTGGATAGAGCCACCAAGTCCATCCTATATCGAAACGTGCTGCTCATTGGAGGAGACATGAAGTTCAGGACCTAATCCAGGTGATCAAGCTCGCTTGAAGGAGTGGATCAAGACCAACCGAATTCAGCTATGTTGGGTCGAGGGTAGTAGCAACATTGATTACATCTTCATGAGAGCCACACAAACTGTTGCATCATCATTCAACACCAAAACTTTCCCGGCTTTCCCCCTGCTTGCACACAGCGAGTATCCAGGCCATCGACCTTTGCTGGGAAGCTGTCCTCTGGGGTGGAAGGTGTGGCTACAGTCAAAGGCACAGCATGATCTTCAGATCCCCAATAGGATGAACCCTCAACTCATGCAGGATCGCCGTGAAGGACGCTCCAGATGGACCACATTGGTTCAGAAGGCAAGCGAACGAGTTGAGCGCTCATCCATCCATAGTGCTGAACAATTGAACTTTCATCTCATGAAGACCATGCAACAAATCATTGGTGTCCAGGAAGTGGAAACATTTGCTTTGGGCTAGGCATCCAGGGACGACGACACCCCTACTGCAGAAAGAAGATCATGTATGGATGGCATCACATGAGCAGGCACCTCGTTCTCCGGAAGCAGCTCAAACAAATACGTCACTCCAAACGCAAACAAAGAGTATTCGAAGTCACCAACCAGGCCACCAGAGCGGCTGCTGTTCATGATTCGTGGGGGCTCTATGAAGCTATCAGGAAGCTCACACCTAAGCAAACTCCAAGGGTGATCTCCTCAATCCTCAGGCTGAACTGGACCAGCTGCAACGGCACTTCGTGCACCTTTTTCAAGCTGCTCACCCGGTGACCACTATCTGAATCTTCCAGTACAAACCGGTGATTGTGACTCCCATTGAGATTGAACACCAGCTCCTCAAGACTCGAGTTCACAAAGCAGTTGCTCCAGGTACACCTCCAGCTGCTTTGATCCATGCCTTAGCACCAGAGTTGGCCACATGGGCGCACAACTTCATCGAGACGCAATGGAGGACTCAGCCACGGGTTCCGCAATCCTGGAAGGATGCAAAACTTGCCTTGTTGGCCAAGAACAGTACATTCACCACTGGACCTCCGTCCCATCGCTCTCACAGATGCCATTGGGAAGGCAGTCCTGCGGGCATACATGCAGCGTGCCAAGGATGCCATGCTTCCCACGTTGACCACCTTGCCAACGTTCGCCTATCTACCTCAGCGAGGAGTGGCAGAAGCGCTCACGCTATAAAGACTGCCACCTTGGATCCAAGGGTTGGGTGGGGATCCAAGGGTTGGATTTCTTCTGCGCTTGTCACAGTAACATCATGCTGCGCCGTGCATGATTTTTGTGACCGCTGACAAAAGCAAGGGCAGCTAATTGTAACGAGTTCGCCGGCGCTGGCTGCCTATTTGATGTAGAACAAAAGCCAACCTCAGCTAGCTCTCACAAATGGCTGCGCGCGCAAATGATATGGCAGTTTTGCTCTGCCTTCAATCAGTTCAAGTGACCCGTGGGTCGTTGCGATGACTTTCGAAATGCTCCGATTGGTGCTTTGTCCCACCCGGCCCGCCCTGTGCATGGGAGGGATATTATTAATATTGCGCGTGAGCGATCAGGGGTCAGGCCTTGCTATGGTCTAACGGAGCATGTGCGCAAACGCAGGTCTGCTCCACTTTCGGCTGTCACTGTGTCCAAAAAATAAGGTCCCTAACTGCAGCAGGGTCAGCCTTAGGAGCTGGGTTTCTGGCGCTGTATCCCTTTCGTAAGCGAACCCACGAGAAAAAATATATATGTATACACATGTAATCAGATTTGACAAAGATTTGTTTGCGTTTGCCGAGTTGATGTTGGGAAGCCGGCGTCCCACCAATGGACGAAACATAGATGTTTTGTGCTCCCAACGCCCAAGTTTAGTTTTTTGTGTTCAGTTCTTGGGGTAGTTTCATTGGGCGGCTCTGCAAAAAGTGTTGGCAGCGATGGCGCTGTCCGTTTTAAGCGTTGCATTGGTAGGTTTGCAAGCCAATTTTCCTTAGCTTGGCAGGTCCTTTGCAACGCTGTGTGAAAACCTAGATCTAACACGTCTAACATTAAGAGCCCCAAAGGCCCAAAGGTTCACCGAATAAACAAATGATTTTTCAGACAAGTCAGGAACCGCTTGTGGTTTCACTTGCCGGCTTTCGCTTGCAGCTTTGTGCCCTTGAGCAGGAGAGTGCTGCAAGCATGTCAAAGGACACGTGAATTAGTTCATGTGCCAGAACTTTTTAAGACTTTTAAGTCATGTGCCTCCACGCATGTTGAGTCGTCAATGCCGCCCTGCGCCGCAGGCCGCTCTCATCTCATAATTTTGCCTAGTGTTAGGGCAACATCAGGGACGGGCCCAGGGACGGGAGGCCATCGCTATTATTAGGTTTGGAGGCCGTCGCTAATAGGTGGCTGCCAGGCCATCGCTAGTACTATGGGCTGGAGGCCATCCGTATTATATGGAGGCCTTCACTTTTAGGTTGGGCGCCATCACTACTAGGTTGGAGGCCATCGCTATTGGGTTAGAGGCAATCACACTTTTAAGTTGGAGGCCATCGTTGGAGGCCATCGCTAGAGGCCATCGCTATTAGAAAGCAATGTGCCAGCAAGCAGGACATGGAGGGGTGGGTGCCAGAGACGTCGTCCAGCAATCATCGTTTTGATAAAGATACCTTGCAGGGGCCTTCTGTTGTCAGGTTCATGGTGTCAGCCGTGGTTCACTTCGAAGATGGAGGTGCGATATTTAAATCCGAATCCGGTGTCGAACCTTCGCTAACAAAAAACATACTTCGCGTTTGCTTCGCCTGTCAGCTTACGTTTTGACTGCGCGTTGAAGTTGCAAAGATCTCGCCGGAGCTTGCGGAATCTGGGAAAGAAAGAATACGTCGATAGAATCGCAATAGGGTCTTTGTGCTATATTAGCGTGTCAACTTGGCTTTAAGAGGCGCTTTAAAATTTACATTCAACCAGACTCGCCCTTGCCAGGTCCAGACTCCAGACTTGGGCGGTTTTCCTTGCGAGAGGAGGCCAGAGGAGAGGTTTGTATTTTTGGGGGTGTGCAGGAGCGACACGTTGTTCTACTAAGAGTTTTGCAGACGCTGCAGATAGCTGGTCTTTGCAAGGCATCTATCTCCATGTGTGAGTGTCGCATGTACGTCGGTTGTGGGTGGCCTAGCGTTAGATCTTTGATCATTTCGCGTTGCAGCGCAGCTTTTGCCTTGCGTCGGCGACATGGGCTAGTCAGTGCATGGCCGTTGCGCCAGTGGGTCTTGCGCTGCGTGTGGCAGAACTCACTGATTCAGACCATGAGCTTGAGGCTCGGCCTCCCCACCCGAAGCGGCCACGGCGAAGTGGCACGTTCAGCTCGCGGGAGGAAGACTTAGATTTGAAGCAATTGAGAATCCAGCTGTCAAGGCGTTGCAAGTGCGCGCAGCAGTCGTCCAAGAAATGGAGACCGTCTTGCCTGGCCCCTTTCAGCGGTCAGCATTGGGAAAAGTTCAAGGGTTTTCGAGCAGAGTGGCGTGCAAAGAGCAAGCTTGATCAAGACACCCAAGCCGCTCGGTTGAATTCAATGTGCCTCTATCCCTGGAGCAGGTAGGTGATAGGGTTGGGTGTTTCAAAAATGGAGTGTTAGCTTTCCATGACATCTGATTCTATAGAGAGCCGTTTTATGTCAAAAGAATTGGGGACCACGAGACACCGGCTTCATTCCAAAGAGGATGTGCCTCTATGATTTGTTTGCTAGCCTTTTAAGATTTTTGTCACGCTCGGAAGCTGAGTTG